CATAACACCAAATTTGTAAGACTGTGGAGAGCTGACGTAGCCATCAGCCCAGCCACATACTGACAGAGTTAAATCCCAGCCTACCTGCAAATTTTACCATGGACCTCAGTGGCATCCAGTCACTCCTCAGCCATTAAGCCACATATTATGGATAATTAACCTGGAAATTGTGTGAAGCTGAGATAGCCACTGGCATCACCCTAGAATATTTAAACAAAACAAGATACCAAACAAACAACAAAGGCTCCAGACATCCTGCTACGCAAGCACAGCTGACCTGACTTTGAGCATGGAGTGGGCAGGCAAGGCACTTCAGCTGGGCTGTGGATGCAGAACACTGGCAAAGAGCGGTGTAAGATGAGAGAGAGCGTGTTCCAAGGGTGCATAAAGGGCAGATGTCTGGAGGTCAGCATTGTGAGACTCAAGCACCAACCTGAGACACTTCATTATGTCCTTAGTCCTGCCCAGTGAAGTAACTAGAGCTTCCCACCCTGCCTGACACAGGGAATCAGCAGGCAGTGCACTGGCGAGGTACACTTCTCCTCCAGATCGTTCTGGCAACTCTGCTTCATACCACATAGTTCCTGTGGGCTTAGCCTGTGACATCTCACGAGGGCTCAGTGCCCAGGCTGTGGTCCCAGCACCTACCTGCATGGCTCAGCAGTGCCATTCCCCAAATCTGAGGGCAGAAACAAGCTCCCGTGCTTGCACAATATGATGCAAAGCCTTAAGCACAGGTAACCCTGGCAGCTGAGCAGTTTTCCCTCTGTTCTTCTGGCTCCACAAGCTGCTACACTCTAAGGCCCATTGAAAGCAGGTTAATTTTGACATATACACTTTTCTTTGGTCAGTGGATTAAGAAGCCCAAGTGCAAAATCTGCTTAATTGTACTCTTTTAGAATATTTGCTGTAGCAAAGGACCATCATTAGAGGATAAGTCAGCCTCCCTCTCCTTCCTGTGATGGCTATTGAAGGAGCCAAGCAATATCCTAACTTCAGTGTTTTAGGTAAGTGCCCAAATCAAGTGAAATTGATTCTGACCTCACTTAATGCACTAGCAGGATTTTTTTTTTCATTGGAACTGTGAAGACTGAATATATATCAAAATACTGCAATTGGTTATTCTGAGACAAGGGTAACGTTTTTAATTAAACATACTCATCTGAAATACATTATATGAACAGAACCAAAGGATGGTAATCAGTGTTACAGCTATGTGCTATGGAGAAGGCAACACTCACTTCCAGGCTGAAGCCCATTTAAGCATCCTTAGGCCTCTTAGAGAAGCCAGTGAGCACTGATGCCTTGGGAGAATGGAGGCACAGACCTCCAATCTGTAGTTTTTAAAAACGTGAACTGATAACCATTTTAGTTTTAGAAAACGGAGATGTGAAAGAGCAAAAGCAACCAAAGCACTCAGGTCCCTTTTAATAGGTCAATCTACAGCATTTAACTGACAGCTTTGAATCTGTAAGAAAAAAAAAGGACCTTGAAAAGATCTGGTTTACAAGTCTAAGCTGATGAGATATAGCAGCCAGGATCATCTTACATTTTTGTGAAGCTATTTAGACAGCCCGAGCTGTTAGCCAGGCTGCAACGAAGCCAGTAATGTAAAAAGTAACATAGAAAACACAATTTTCTCCCATTGAGAATGTGGAGTTCATGCCGTTAGTATGCAGAGCTGGATTAAATTCAAGAGCTGCTGCAGTCATATTGGCTTTGCTTCCAAACATCACAACGTTGGAAGTTTCCTTCCAGCAGTCTAGCAGATGTCATGTCTAACACACGTAGGCACCTCCAGATAAACAAAGTCTCACATATGATGGGCTCCAGTGCGGTGCAAATACCACCTGGATAGTCAGCTGGGTCCACCTGAGTAGAACTCCAGAGTTCTGCTAGACACCCATGCTGGGTCTACTGAAATGTGTGTAACAGTAACAAAGAAGGGGAAGAGTCACCAGGACAACAGGCTGTGGGAGCCAGTAGGGGTCGAGCCCTTCCCTATACGCAAGTTCTGTCACTGCCAATGCAAAACAGTTCTCCTCCCTTCCAAAAACTCAGTTGTCTGTCAGTGCATCAATAGTGGCTACAGATTCATGTGCAGCCAAGGAAAAAAACATAAATTCCTCTTTTGTCTTGTCTCTCTCTCTTATTAAGGTTACCAGGCATAATGTGTTAGTACATATCAGCTGAGCCTGGGTGATGGCACCAAGGACACACACAGTTAATAGCAAACCCAAGATAAGATACATTAACTCAAGCCTCGGTGATGGAGGCTTAAACTAATCCAGTTAACCTGGAATTTGCAGTAGGTAAGAAGCATACGTGCAAATAATTGTTGGACCTCACCTCACACACCTTAATCTGAGGCAATACATCTGCTTAGTCTAAGCTGCTCATTTCCATTTCTGGGTGTGTGGCGTTGGCACGACAGTGCTGAGACTTCTAAATTCAAATTCAGCATCACAGCACAAGACTGAGGTCAAAACAAGGATTAAAAAGTCAGCCAGGCCCATTAGGACAATGCAATCTCCAGCAATGTTCATTGGGGATAGTGTTGCAGAAACTTTTTCTAGCAATGCATTTCTCAGGGCCATATGTAATCAGATGATGAACTTAAGTCATACGCATACTCCAGTGAAATGACATCTACATTAGTGCCTTCCTTCTGACACAGCAAGATGTTCAAAACCGAACATAAACTGGAGAGAATTCAGATAAACAGCTCCACAAAAGACACTCCCAGATTTTGCAGTTGATGATCTCCAGAACTGTTGTATAAGCAAGAAGTCCCCACCTGTTCATGCACAAATAAGATTAAAAAAACCTCAAGCAGATGGTGACTTAATCCCCAACTCCATCACCAACTGATGCTGGACAAAATGAGGAACACGCCTCATGCTTTAAACCTTTGCTTGTAATGGAAAAATCTTCAAAATTGGGTGTCTGTAAGGACGAAGTACTGCCATTCCAAAGTACTGTACTAATTTGGTGATTTCACTCAATAAGGGGAGATATCCAACTTTAAATATTGATTACAGGCACAGGGTATTCAACAGGATCAAGCAGTATCTGAACATGCAGAAATTAAGAGGAAAACTCATGCCCAATGCCTCAAATAATCCAAACAGAGATGCAAACAGCTGTCCATTCCCCCTCACCTCATGATCACTTGAAGTGGTCTCCTCTGAAACTCATGGCTTACTTAACACACACAAAGCCAGGGTACTCTGCCTTCAGGATGGTATCGTGCACCACTCACCACCACTCCGCTGTTCATGCTAACAATAAGGATTAAAATGTAGAAAACCAGCCAAAACTGCTGTTGCTATTGAAGCAGCTTTAAAAATATGCCTTATGCAAATGATGTTTCTTAAAAGAAAAGCACAAGCTTGTGTCTGCTGTCCTGGTTCCCCTTCCCTCTGCTCCTGCTGAAAGGCACAGCATGTCTACATTTAACAGCAAGTCCTACGCCAGCCAGAGGAATCCTGCATGCTGGCTTTGCACAGCAACACATCCCTTCACATCTGGGATGGGGGAGGAGGGCCAGGCTCCCCTCTCAGTTCCACAGAGGCAGCAAAAAGGAATATTTGCTTCTGTGTGTTTACAGTAGAGTAGCAATGAATTTCCACTGCTAATAAAGGGTTTCCTGCAGTGCAGAAGCCTGTGAGAAGGACCCAGAGCAAGCAGAAGCACATCACTGTCTCAAATCTGAATCATCCCACCTTACTTCACAGATCTGAAGTTAACCTACAGCAGACGTGAAACTTTATCCTCCTAAATGAGTTTACTCCACTTCTATCCTAAGGGACAATTTACCAATGGAATCTTTTCAGCAGTAGGAAATGCTGAAAGGAGTTTTTAGTCTTCAAAAACACACTCCACCACACACCCCTCCACTTGACATTGCCCTTCTGCCTGAAAGAAGGAAAAAACCCACACAGCCAGATCAAGGTTATTTCAGACAGATTAAAATGTACCAAGTTCAGAATTTCTCTCTTACCAATGAATAAAATAGAAAAAATCATATGGTGTTTAATAAACCCAAGTATTTTGCTCAACTTTTAGGAAATCTGAAAACCAGGGAGATGGATCTGCACCATTCTTACAGCATTCCCCTTAGGAAATACACAATAGGTTTTCTCCAGCTTGGAGAAGGCAGGTCCAAATCTATCCTTTGAAGTCCCCCGAGCTGTGCCACAGGTACGCACACACTCCAGACACATGCAAAGTAACAGACCAAGGGGTCACAATAACTGAAGCACTCATGCAACTGGTCGTGAGACTGCTTTGGTCAAAATAAGAGCTGGAGTTCAAACAAGCCCAGCTCACATGGTCTGAGCGGACTGGAAAGCAACTGTATGCACAGCTCAGACAGCAGAGCCGAGTGTAAAGCCTGCAGCAGCTGGATGAGAGGTCACAATGACACCTCCAGTGCCTAATGCATATGGAAAGAATCAGGTTCTTGTGAAAATCCAGGTTAACCATTCCTCTTTCAGCATATCACTGATGTCCAGGAAGTCTTCTTAGAGTGCTTAACTGTTCTGGACCCAAGGGTCTGGTATCAGAAACACTCAGACACTTCAGTATTTTCTTGGTGCTACAGGACCTCCATACCTTTAAACTGATGGGCCAAATATCTGACCCCCCAACTAGTCCTTCATGTCAAATGGTCTGCAATTTTAAAGCTAGCTTTTACATAAAGCTTAAAATACGTGTTATTGTCCAAATCTTTAATAACTCCCTTTTATTGATTTGTATTTAAAGCAAATCTGAAGTAACAGTTTGACCAGTTTTATTATTTTTTCCAATTGCATTAATTTTACATAGTACAAAATTCTCTTATTTAAGCAATCACATAAAACCAGCATAACAAATTTTGCCAGACAGGAAATACACCTTTATCGAGATATTTTAAAGCATGTTGTTTTCAATAAGAGTTTAATTTGTTCTTATGTTTCAGAGTTGTCATGTACATAGGAAGCTTCCAGACATCCAGATTCCAGTTCAGAATTTATTTGCATATAAAAATATATTATAATGGAAAAAAGCATTAAAGTTCTCAACTATATAAAATTACAAATATATTTGCATAAAAGCAACTTTAAATTACAATTTAAACTATATTTTAAAGCAAAATAGAGCTGTAACATTTAAGTTATCTTATTCCATCTGCTGCAACATAAAAAACCTGGTATCGCCACAGTTAAATACTTGTAGGAGTTTACAAAGGTTATGTGCAGAAGGTGAGTATCTTGGGGAGCAAAGTTACCAGACAAGGGCAGCAGTTCTCAGGGACCGATGTCACTTATCCTTCAGAGGACACCCACAGGCAAGCACAGTGCCAAAAATTAATTTCACATACCTGAAAATAAAGAAGATAGATCATTACATTCTAAATTGAATAAGATTGCATGCTGTTGACACACCAGACACCCATCTACGCCCAGGTTGCTAGACTGCCTGACAGGCCAAATTATGTCTTTTTTAAATTAACATGAAAGCTGAAATTCTAGTGTGCAAAAATATAAGGCAAGTACTGTTCTAACAAATGCCTTAGGCTTGAAAAGGTATCTGTACAAAGTTCTGTGTAACCTCAAGCATATAAATACAACTCCTCAAAAATGTGATGATAAAAAATATCAGATAGAAGTTGGACCTCCTATTCACTGTACAAATGAGGCTCTGCTAAGATGCTTAGAGATTTGTTTAGTTGGTATTGAAAAAACCACACCAAAAAAAACCCACTAAAACACTAGAGCAGGTGGTAGTTTCTGCCCTCATCTTTGATGCACCTTGCAAGGGAAAAAAATGAAATCTATATATTATAGGCAGTCCCTTAAGAGTTAGCTGCAACATGGCTGTGCAAGATATAGCAATGTAAATATTTACTGGTTTAGGGTTTCATTGTCCTACACAAACCTTCAAAAACTCAGATTTTTTCAGAAGAGCAGTCAATTAAAACTCAGTGGGAAAGATGGAGTTCCCTCAAGCACACATCCATGACAGAAGACAGGAAACTAGAAATATATTTTAAGAGAAGTGAAACCAGGATTAAGATACAAGTAAGACAGCAAGGAAGTAGGAAGCTCAAGGAAGTCTTGAATTAAGTCTGGGTCTTCAAAAAACACAGGGGAGGGAAAATACCTAATGAATATATGAAACTCTCAGTTCATAGTTTGAGAGGGCTTTGTTTATGCTGCTATTTAGGTCTAGTCCTACAATTTGTTAGTTTGGGCTCTGTAGCTTAGCTGCACACAAAAAGAAACAAACATACCAAAACACAAAACAAACACATATTTTATGTTTACAACATCAGAGGAAGAAGCAAAAAGACTGCCAGAGTACCTGGCTGGCAATAGGTGGCCAGTTTTTTTAGTTGTTTTTTTTTTTTCCTTAAAAATCATAATGAAGAATCCATTACTGTGACTGGAAGATACAATTTCTAGATAGTGAGAGAAAATGTGATCTAAATTCCATTCGTGGTAAAGACAAGTACAAACAGGATTTTGACATTTAGTTTAGGTCAATAGATACAGTTATCTGGCTCCTCAATTCTTTCATAAAGCAAAGTCCAGAATAGAAATGTTTTCCTCACCTATGGTTATTCCTCATGTTGCTTAGCTTTATAATGAAGGAACAAATCCTCACTTTTTAGCTGAGTTTTGAGTATTTAGGAAAGTGATGTTTACTTGATCTGTACACTGACAAGGAGTGGTGAATTGCAGCTGCCTCAGAGGTGGAGACAGGGGTTCATTGCCTTGAACTGCATGCCTTGAACATTCAGGCAAAGATCTGAATTTAGGCTATTTCACCTTCTTATACACAATGATCCATAGGACTAGCAAACTAAAATAAAACTGCACTATATAAACTATTTCTATTTTTCCCTTGGCCATTGGCTTTCATCACTCTTTCACAGTACCAACTGACATGCAACTTACTAATAAAAATCTACTTACTTGCTAGTGTTCTGTCAAGATCAGCAATGAAGTCCTCCAGTTCTTTTGTGTCTCCAAGCTTTGCTGCAAAAGAAGAGCCAATACTGCTTAGACATGATATATTTCTCTGGCTAGAAGAAACACTGGAACCACACAATCCTCCAGATCATTTTCAGTGGTATCTAACATGCTGTGGATTATTGTCAGTCAAGTTCAATAAGGTTGCTGCAATGTCCAAATACACTTAGACAACAGGGGAGACTGAATTGAAATTCCAGCTTTTATAGTTTTCCATTGGACAGAAGCAACACAAAGCAACAATCCTTTGTTTAGTTTCCTTGAAAAGCAGAGGTTGAAGTGAAGAAAAAAAAAAAGCTATATGTCAGCTAATCCATGCCCTTGCTACTGTGGGCATCTTCCTCATTTAATCTATTCAGATACTGTATGCATGGCACAAACAAAACCCCAGTCCAACTCGAATCTCAGCCTCCTAAAATCATGTCAGTATCACTGGCTTGCTGTGCTGTCAGATCCTTTGATCTTAGTCCATACACTATGAATTTGGAACCAAACATTCAAAGTTTTCACTCCTGACAACACCACTGGTTCCATTCAATCTAGTTTTACTGCAAGTGGCTTCCTTATTTTTCTAATCTTCATTTTTGTGGTCTATTATAAGCCAGTTTCCAACTCTATTTCTGTCTTTCTGTCTTCTCAACAGGAAGAACATCTTGACCTTTAGTGTAATTCCTTGCCAAGTACTTCCTTTCAGTTTAACTGAACTCTTTTGCTCCTTCATATTAACTATTACTCATTATTTCTTCCTACTATCATGCTAATTGAAAATAAAGCATTTAACTTGTTTTTTCATGACTGGTCACTGTGGAAGAGACATGAAAGCGTGAAAGGCTATTCAACATTCATATGAGAAGACTATTTGTAATGAAAGCACCATGTAGTACATATGTATGTGTTCATTTATTGATATGTCTGCTCTACAGTTAATTCAAGATAACCTGAATGAAACACTGTCATGGGAAGTTACATCAGCTGCAAGACAGAAGCCACTTTGAAACAGCATAGCTTCAAAGGAGCAAGGAATTACTAATACATGGCTTGTATCAGCAGTGCAAAGGTCTATATGGATCTGGGCAATTTTGTTAACTTAAACAGCAGCATAGGGCTTCAGAGGAGTCCCTCTACCCCTGCGTTCAGTCTAAGTGTTTTTATAGCAGGTGGGACACAAGCTACTTAGTTGCTTCAGTAAAGAAGTAACACAAGTTAATAATATAACTGTTATGTAAGTTTTACAATTAATCCTTATCAGACAGAAAACTGTAATTTTCTTTAGCTCAGTGTTTCAAAACTTTGCAGGTCACCTGCAAAGAAGTGCAGATATAGCAACCTACTGCCACTTAGAATCCAGACAATAATACCTGGATCTGAAATGTGTTCAACAGTAATCCTTAGTTTTATTATCATTAAAAAAAAAAAAAAAAAGTCCATGTAAGCATGAATCCTGGCTCACAGAAAGAAGCCCATATAGTTGAGGAAGAAAATGCCAGTGGTTAAAAATAAGCATACCTTTACATGGAGTTACAGATGGAGATGGCAAGCTTGGAGTAGATGCAGTTGGAGAGTTGAGCTTTTCATCACTGAGGCTGAAACTATTTCTGTAGAGTGAATCTGCACCTGTAAAAAAGTAACATTATAAAGCAAATTTAACAGCTTCTGCAATTTTGCAACATAATTGAAATCAGAAGTGGGGCCTTTCCTATATGGTCTGTTGAACTCAAATCAACAGACTTCAAAATCAGAGGAATAAATAAATAAATTATGTATTGTTGAAGGCTGTTGTTCCCACTCCTGCTGTTAAAGAGCAAGCAGTTCTAGGCTCTGTCCTCAACCCCCAGTATGGAAAGTGTTAGCTTTCCCTGAAGTCAGCATCATTTGAAAAATATTACAGGAATGACAATTATCCCACATCAGCTAAATTAGACCTGGTAGGATCCGCCTAATTCACAATATCCTGGGAAATTTTGTTACCTAAACTTTGCAAAAGTTATATAAAAAAGCTGAATAGAGAGCTCCAGGAAAAGGACAGCCTCCCAGAATGGAGAATATATTTAGTGTTGTCCTTTATTCTCAAAGCAAATGCATCCATTTCTCCATACATTACTCTCTTGCTTTAGATCTACAGCCTCTTTTCATTTTCTTTTATTCTGTGACTCTCTGGAGTTCATGAAGCAGTACATCAGTACACAAGATATTCTGCAATCTTATTTTAGGTCACCTTTCAAAGAAAGCTTTATATGCCCTGGAAAGCAACAGGAAAAGTTCCAAGTATCATTTTGATGTTCTTGTATTTTAGACAAGGCCTTAAGTTTCAAAAGTATCAAAAAGTATCTTTACCTTGTCTTTTTTCATATAACGAGTTCCATGATGCACAGTGCACACAAAGTATTAGTCATGGCTTCACTGGAAGGAGGAATTGCCATTGTGCTAGAGACACTAAAGCTGCTAGTTCTGTAGTTTTAAGCCAGTGGTCTGAAAACTGTAGTTGTATAAAAAGGAACCATTGTAACGTGAACATGCCAGTGGTCTCTATTTATTTGGTACATTTCCTAGGCCATAAATGTATGTCCTATTACAAGGGGTGGTAACTACCACTGCTTGCCATTGAGGCAATTCTGCCTCCCTGCAGCACATGCAGCATTTGTCTATGGAGCCTAGAAGGTGGTCGCACTGCAGCATTAAGTCCATTCAAGGGAGAACTGTCACACTTCCTTGGATACCTGTCCTATACCAGGAGATGACTGCCTTAGTTAAATATAGGGTGTCTTGCTGAAATAGCAAAAGGGAGCAGGATCACAGCTTGTCTTGCCAAAATCTGAACATCTCCACCTCCACTGAACATTGCCATGATGTTTCCAGGTAAACATCAAGACCATCCTCTTGCAGACTACTCCTTCACTGCAAGTTCCACCATCTTTGGGAAGAAGAGTGTGTGTCCACACCCCACCTCCTCTAGCCTGCTGTCCCCACCAGCACAAGACCACCTTCCACAGGACTATACAGTTACAGTGACAAATCAGACCAGACGACTGCACCCACAAAGCCTGTCAGATCTCTCCTCGGCCGCAAGCTGATTTGTTTCTTCTGTGCTGGCTTCCAAGCCTACCTGTGTTACAACATATGCTGAAAATGCCTTTGTGAAAAGCTTCAACCTGGAACACTTTCCTCCTTCACGTGCATTTTGGTCCACCATTGTACTGTATCTTTCAGTTTGCTCTGCCATCAGCTCTGACCGTGTTCTGGCAAACACACATGCTACCCACAGCACCATGCAAACATGAGTGATGATGTGACTGACATCTGTTGCCTGGGACTACTGCCACCAAGTCAGCCACCAGTTGGTATTTCTTGTTTATAAAGAAAAGTATGCTTCTTCATGCAGTCTTTTAATTGCAATATCTTGCCTGTTCTCTCTAAATTTGAGTAGATCCAAACCAATCTACTTGAAACTTCAGATACAAGAAAGATTTGATGAATACAGCAGAATAGAGATAACTTTAGTTTAAAAAAATGGAAAAAGGAAGCCATTTTAAAAGTGGCTCCTAAAAACATAAAAAATAACTTAAGGGGTAAAAAAAAAAATAAATCTAACACTGCTCTGCAATGATGAGTGTCACCAGTCCTGTACTATTATGCACCATGAACCCTGTACACTAAGTGTTACTTTCTCTCTATTAAAGGTATTTCCTCCTGAAATCAGCTTACAGATTTCCTACTAAAACTACACTTCTTTTCAGCCAAGATGTAAGCCCAAGTGACCAAGAAACAGAATCAAAAATTCTAGCTGTTCAGGACAAAACCCCCACCATCACCAAAAAGCCAAGTAACTTGTAATAGCTCCTCACACAAACAGTGCTGTAGCCAAGACTGTAATTCACTGAAACACTGACAAAACAGACCAAAGATAAAACACCCTCCAGGTTATGTATTTGAAAAAAAAAGGAGAACAAAAACTTGCAAATTATTTCATATTTCAAAGGTTTTACAGCTCATTGAATGAATTAAAAATAATACAGAGAATAAAGACTACAAAACTGAGCATACTTTTAATGTGGAGTTTATGCTACTAGAATCCGGACACCAAATGTAGTGATGCTGGGGATTTATATTACAAACCAATCCTTCTCACACACAAAATCCAAAGCCACAGTCGCTCTTATCTAGAATCGGAATAAAAACTTCTTTCTGTGAATGTTTGTGAGGGCAACTCATATTGCAAAAGCCTTAGTAAGCCATTAAAATTGGCCACAAACTATTCACACAATTCTTTCTTTATATCCATGTACACATCCAACCTAGCAGTGACCTCTGACACGTTTTGTGGTTTTCTCTCCATGTTCCTTCTATAAGTAGCTCAAAGTACTCACTGCTCACTTGGCAATGTATGGACACTAGAAAATGTTATTTCATACTGGCTTCCACAAACATCGTGCTGGCAAATATTTACAACTGGGCAAAGATAAAACAAAACAGAACTGTTGCTTTAAATATCTGAATGTTTTTCTTCCAGTTTCAAAAGGTAAAATATTTTCACAGAACAGTGTTATCTTCTGATGGACTATTGATATTTTCCTGAAACTTTCTCAAAGCAAAAACATACTTGAGCTACTGGCTGTGGCTTACACACAGGACCAAGCACCCAAAATTCTGGTGGTGCAAGGAGGAATGCACTGACTCCACCATCAAGATCACTATAACTGCTGAAAACAATGTACTGTTAAAAAAATACTTGGGACATCCATCGCAGGAAAATATCTGGTTTGGCAAAGTGTGGCTGAAAAGCTGAAAGCTCTGGGAAAAGGACACTTCAGTCCTTGCCCTCTACCAGCTTCCATGGCCAAGATTTGCTCATTCACCTTCAATAATGGCCCTTGGAAGGGTTCCACAGCTACACAAATACAGCATCCTCTGCAACCCAGTAAACAGAGGCTAATGCCAAGGGTCTCATTGCTGCTGTATTTCCTCATCCAGCTCCTTCTCTCCCACTGCAAATTTCTCATTCACTACTTATTTTTCACTCTGTACCTTGATTCTAGTCCCTGTGTGTATATATATAAACTATGCCCCTTCCACTATTTTAAAAAACACTCAAATTGTCTCTTTAAAAAAAGGCCTTAAAATCTGAGACTTAAGTTACTGAGTTCATTTACATCAGTCATACTAAGCCAATAGCTACAAAATTAGGGGGTAGGAATAAATATGGCTGTGTTTTACTTTGGCAGAGTACTCTGTAGTTAGTATTGACCTTTCCTGTTCCAATATAGGGTTAAACCACAAAAAAAGAAAAACAAACAGGGCAACACCATGTAAATATAGAATGTCCTCATGAAATGAGCAATTGATTGGTTCTGGGCAGTAATTAACTGAAGGAGGAAAACATCAAACTTTTCATTTCCATTGGAAAAGTTCAGTTGTCTAACTTCTTTAATATTATGCTCTTTCTAGTACCATAGTTCAAGATAATTTTAAAGAGCATTGGAAGTAAAACTTTTACTGCAGCTTTCAGTGGGAAAGTTTTAGAGGAAAAAAAAGCACAACCTTAAAGCTTTCAGAAAGGAGCTTAAAAATTCCACTCAAGTGTCTACAAACTATGAATTTATTATAAAACAGTAGCTCAGAATTTAATGAATAGACTGCAAAACTAATTCCTAGTCAGAACATAGCCTACTTGCTAATAAAATAAGAGAAAATCAGGAAACTGTAATGCCACCAGTAGAAGTGAGAAATATTCGTGATACAAAGAACTTGTTCTACAACACATATGTTGCAGCCCTCAAGGATAGTGTTTGTTTTTATCTAATCACAGTTACAGCTGGCTGCATTGTTTATTTTTTGTGGGGTTTTTGCCTAGCTAATGAACATCTGGTCCCAGACTGATAACACCTTTTCACTATTGACACATCTAAGCTTCATTACTTAAAAGATTTCAAATCACATACTTACAAGAAAGTGATCTAGGAAGCCAGAAATTCAGATCATGATATACACAAAACATGTTTTCTCATTATATACAAAGCTTACCTCTCCAATCCCCCACCACGCTTACACTCTACAAGGCCGTGTTTCCAACTCCAACCTTCCCCCTTACTAATCTTCCTTTCTAATGAGTAAGAGCAACAGATATGCTGGAGTGGTAAGAAAAAAAAGCACATTTCTCAGTGTACTGAAATACCTGGAGAGGAGGCTACACATCTGAAACTTCTGATCAGTTTTCTTTCCCTTGGACATATCAGTAATTCAATAGTTTCTTAATTTAATAATTTCTCAGATCATTTAATAAAATGTTATTTCTCCATAAGAATCTCACTTCATTTTTTTCATCATAAATACTGCCTTCTTGTTTGAGACAGGCCATTGGAAGTTCACAGACACAATCTACCTTCTCATAAGGTTCCTTCTTCATTATACTGGGATTTGCTACAAAGACCAAAGCCCCATCTACTTCTACAACCTGTCTTTCACAGCAACGCATAGCAGATGCCTATAGAAGAGCTTAAGAGTGGTGCAGTCACACGCTGATAGTTTCAAGACAAGCTCTACCAAATTCTTGTAAAGCACATATTAGTATCTTTTCTGAGACAGCAGTAGCATCAGCCTAAGCAGATCACAATGGCCCCATCCCTCCTGCTGTGATTTTATCTAGTTATTTTTGATTATGTGAACTTTTAATATCCATACCTTAAGGCAATATATTTTACAGTTTAACTGTTCACCATGAAAGAAATAACACCTTTTTTTTTTTTTGAAACATGTTAATTTAATTTGATTTCCTTGTACTGGTGAGGTAGCAGTCACTTAGGATTTTCCAGAAGACTAGTTTGTCCCCACCCAAGACATCTCTTCTTTAGCCTGAGTGTCCCAGTCTATTTAATCATTCGAAAACTATTTTATGTCTTCATTCATTTCTGTTGCCTTTTTCTTTACCTTCTTTACAGACACATATTACAAGATTGCCAACATTAACAGGCTTTTCAGGGTGAGTGCTTCAGCTCTAGATAGCATAGGCATTAGTACAAGCAGATGGAGACATCCATGGCATGTAATCACGCATCCTTGCACTACACCAGGCACTGGGTGTTAACAGATCCTGTTCAACCCCTTAATAAACTTGCACCTACTTGATTTTTAAATTATAAAATTAAGAGCTCTAGATGCACTTGGAACTTCTTTGTTGTGTTCAAAAGCCAGGGAGTATGGCTTAGAAAACATTTACATAGTTCTAAAAGTAACTATGAAGGAACACTGCAGGCTGTATGAGTGCAAAAATTGAATTGATGCATTTATTTTTCAATGCTTTTAACAGAGAGGCTGGAAGATGAACCTTTCTCAAGAAAACACGGAGCTACAAGTGTGAAACATTTCTGAGAGCACAAAACCAGACTGATTTAGCTTTTCAGTGTTATTGTAACTTTGGCACAAGAAATACTGAAGTGTTTCCCTTCTCAACCTCTCATAAAGTCCAACTTTCCATTCATTATCCTAAGCCTAAATTTGGAAAACTGTCCTGACATTGCCACATACTGCGCTAGCACAATGCACTGACTGACATGCAATTTAGACAGGCAAGCCAGTACTCTTCTTCGCAAGCTTATTCGGACATAAGAAGAAAATGCTATCTGTAAGACTGCACCAATATAGCTGCACCTACGCTAGTAGCTTTTGTCAGAACAGCACACTCTAGCACAAATCCCATTTTATCACAATCAACATAGGCTGTAAAAATAGCAAAGAGTTATAAAGTATTCCTCAACTTAGAAGTTCCAGCATGATTAATAACCTAAAGTACAAAGCTGTTATACTTCCATTCATTTGAATACATCAAGTTGAAACATAGCCAGTACTCACAGTCCAGCAACTCAAGAATGCTGAAGTATCTCCTCAGTTGCATCAAGATTTCCAGCACTGACCCAATCAGCTGTTGTGGTTAATGTAATACTTGTAGGCCAAGATCATCACGGACATCTGCACACACAAGCCTTTCTGATACTGTAAGGTCTTGAGTCCATTCTGGTGCGTACAATATTTAACCACAGCCAAGCCAGACCTCATCCAAAGATCATTTAGTCAAATAACAGGACAAGATGTGGGAGAACAAAGTACTATCACACCCATTTTCCACAGTAGTGTCTTCAAAATCATACTTTTTCTTAAGAGCCTGAAATATGTAATGTAAGAATTTAAATTAGTATTTTTGGAGCTACCTTCTCAAGAGATTTTAAGGACAAAAGCAATATTTGAAGGATTAACTACATTGATAGAGATCTTTTGTAAATTTTTCTGTTAAATTAAATAGGCTCATCCTTGGGACAGAAACCCCAGGAGAGAGAAGGTTTTCCTTACCCTACTGGGCAGTATTGTTCAACCACTTGACATCTATTACTAGCTTCTCATAAAGTTGAATTTAAGGCTGATTCAGGGGCACTGAAACAAACAGTTGCAACAGTTTAAAGTGTTTCTTTCCCTTACAGTACCATCCCTGACTGAAAAGACAGCACTGCAGGAGTGCCCAAAAGATACATACACCTAACCTTCAGCCACACCACATCAGTTAGGAGGATTAGATTAAACAACAAACAACAGATAGTACTAAAACACAATAGCCTGAACTGTTCTATACACACATGACAAAGTGTACTTGCAATAGTCTTGGCACTGGATAAGATTTTGCAAAGACAAAGTCTTCATAAACAAAAAGATCATTCAAACTATCTGCAGATAATATGGTTAGAATTTCTTTTGCATTGCTACATATTCATACTATCAGAACTTGCTCTTTTGGCTCAGTTTCTCCTTGATCCTGCAGCGGTGTTTAACCTAAGCATGACCATGGGAAGAGCAAGGTCATGAATTCAGAAAAATAGAAAAAGCCGGGGTAAGCAGGAAACTCTCTGCATCTATTCTTAAAATAGGTGTAGCTGGATTACATCAGACACTGGACTCTAATTTATAAAAGGCACTTTTCATAAACCTGCAATTCCTCTCCAATACTACTCTAACTTCAAAACAGAAGTTGTTTGCGCTGAATGATACCTTTAGGAATGGGGAGAGCAGGCTATTTTTTTGTTTCCCTTCCCTTAAACATATCCTCATACACTCCTGGTGTACCCTCATGGTCCCATATATGCCAGTGTCCAGAAGACAGTCATTTTGATTTCTCCAGAGCCACCTTTTACATGATGCATCACCAAGGGAGGAACTCAAGCACAGGATGGAATTCAGAAACTTGACAAGTTCCTCATACAAGATCTTTGAGGACTTTGTACAGAGTCATTAAATCCTGTCTATCCTACTAACCCATTAATCTTTTCAGCCTAAATCAGTGCAGATTTGTGACACAGACTTTTATTTTTCAGAACTTCCTGAAGATCTGGTCTGCCCACTTACACAAGCATGCTGTTTTCTCACCAGGCTTTCTGCCCAGACAGAGAACACCGTCATTTTCCTCCAGAGATCTTTCTTGTCAATTCTAACAGAGCAATTTTAAACAGTTTTTGAGGTTGATGTTTTCTGAACCATAGCAGACACGCTAAGTAACTGCAGATAGTTTTATCCATGCAATAAGTTCTTGATATTGGGTTGAAGGTTTTTTTGTGGTTCTAAACAGTGGAGTATTTCACTCTAAGTGTCTAAATCGTGAGATACAATAAGCGTATGCGAGAGGTTAATATATAACAACACGGAAGACTGCACAAGAAATAGTAACACTGGGGCTGTACTGCTGAAGTTATTAACAGACTTAGAACACAGTTCACATAACTTCAGTTCAGATCTCACCGTACACACCCCCAGCCATCCAAGACACAAGTGTTCAGACTAAATTGGGCACACGTTTCCAAATCGTCCTTGGAGGGAAAGAAATACTAACAAGGAGTGATTTGTCCACTACAACATGAAAAGCAGAACAGCACCTTGATCCCTGTACTACAGAAAAAACCCAAAGGCACTGCTAGGCAAGGTATCCATGTTCAGGGCAAGTAAAAGATTACCCATCAATGAAATAAATCATATCCATGATGATGATATAAAGGGCTCCGATAATCTGGAGAACCTATGCTTTCACAGCTTAAGTACTAGGAAGATAGCATTAGTGTTTTAGCGCTAAGTCAACAGAACTGCACTCTGAGTCCCTGAACTGATAGAGGCAGAATAAAAATTAGAGGAGCAGGCTTATTATAAATAGCTGCAAAATAGACAGGTTTCATAAAGCTTCCTAGGAACTAAAAAACCTGGCTATTTTTCACTGTCAGCAGAACTTATTTCTGACAAAGTAACCTACTGTTCCCAAAGAGAACAGCAGTTTCCATCCAGACTCACTGTCTGGAACAGAAGAGATGTTTTCTCTCCCTGATTATTAAAAACAGTAATAAGGGTTGAACGTTTTTCCAATTTAAGTAGAAACAATTTAGTTCCAATTCTATATTTTCTCGCTCAAAGCAGCTCTACACCCTCCCTGTTCCATTTTCTGTACACACCATTCATATATAAATCTACTGTACTTAGGCACAATGTAGCTTAAAATTAGCACCTCTGAAACAGTGATAACGCTATTCCATCCAGTTGGATGGATAGATCCAACTAACGAGAAATCTGGATGTGTTTCCACCTGTCGTAAAAAGCACACTTTAGTTCACTCTCTTTCAACAGATACTTTTGGCTACCAAGAAACAATACACGGTCCCTGCGAACCTAAGAGATATCTTTTACTCCAGACGCCGGGACACCCCAGTGTCCCGCAGCCGGCTGGCAGCACGACCTTCTCCCGTGGAGTGCTTTCTTGCGCTCATCTGCCCTGCAGCCAGCCCTGATGTGGCTCCCCTCCAGTCACTCTACCCTCCATTCAACACCGCAGAGTAAACCCAGCAGGGCCAGACTTCTCATCCCTGCGACTTCTTACCCAAAACGTTAACGAAAGGCATTGTTTTTAAAGAAATAGACGGGTTTCTCGCTCCCAGATCCCTGCCTCTCTCAAGGAGGGCGACGTGTTCGTTTAATACTTGCTTTGGAGCGTCGCTTCCCGCGCACCCCCCACCCCCGGGACAGGCATAGCCGGCACGGACGGACCGACGGACACTCACTCTCGGAGTCGCTGAGGCCGCTGCCGTCGCTGACGCTGGCGCTGCTCCGCCGCTTCATGCGCTCCAGGTGGTCGCCGTAGTAGAAGCGCCGCCGGCCGGCGGGGCAGGAGAACTCGGCTAGCACCGCGTCGAACTCGCCCAGCGCCTCCGCCAGGCCCCCGCCGCCGTCCGCCCCCGGCCCTGCCGGGCGGCAGGAGCGCCGTCAGACCGGGACGGGCGCTGCCCCACCGCGACCCCCCCTACCGCCCGCCCGCCCCGGCGGAGGGAAAGGAAAGGGAGGGAGGAAGGGGTCCCGCCCGCCCCCTCGTCCCGATGCTCCCACCTTGCCCCGCCGGCCGCTGGGCTGCAGGAGACTTCATGGCGGCGGCGGGCGGAGATGCCCCGGCGCCGCTACCGCCTCCCGCCGCCAGCATGAGCCGCCTGGCTCCGCCGGCCCTCTCTTATAGCCCGGCCGGGCCGGGCCGGGCCGTGGCGGAGCGGCGGGCGGGGGGCGGTGCCGCGGGCGGTGCAGGTGTGCCGTGCGGGGACGGGGGCAGCGGCACGCCCGGGGCTCGGCCAGGGTGTCTGGGCAGCTGGAGCCCGGCTAGCAACGCAGTCACCGCCGGGAGGTGTCGCTTCTTGTCCTGCGCCCGCCGCCCCGGCAGCGGGATGGGGGCTCCTCCGGCGTGATGCCGGTGCGCTAACTTCGGGACCGGGTGTGTGCCGGGCTGCTGGCGGAGGGAGGATACAGCGAGCGTCAGAGCCAGCTGCAAGGAGGGACTCTCACGGGAACACAAGGCTGGATCATCCTCACCCAGCCCCGTGGCTGCTCCCGACCGAGGGCACACAGCAGGACGAGGTGGCAGCAGCTTACTCGGAGTGAGCCAGTGGCTTTGCATGCAACTGCTGCTCGGCCACCCTGAGAGGCCCTTCCATCCCCACCGCACTGTGCTGGCATCTGTCCATGGTTATTGCCCTGCTCCATACGTTAGTGAGCAGTGGACACGGCCGTGAGGACAGCTGAGCCACTTTATTCCAAGGGTGACCCGAGGAGAGGAGCAGGTGGCAGTGGAAATGTAAGGAATGCTTAGGCACAGGGAGCCATGGCCCCAGGTGCCTCAGCCAGGGCGTTCTCCGGTGGAGTGCTTTCCTTATTCTTAGGAGAAAGATATTAGCACTTGTCCTGAAGTCAGGTTAACCTGATGTTTGTACATGCCATAGCTACCGAGTATTGCTCTTGTGCTGTCTCTCGCTCGTTTTAAATGAAAGCTGTCTGAGCAGCTAAAATACCAGTTCTGTTAAATACTCACTGGGGAAGACTGTCATATTTAGTTACATCCAGAAATACTGAAAACAGACACCAGGTGCTATTCCACGAGAATGTATCGGGAGCTATAATTATGTTTGTGTGTTGATGAGAATATTTAGAGTTAGAATAGAAGTGTCTGGGACAGGGAGAAGGAAGGAAAAACGTATCTCCAAAACTTTTTGACATTTAGAGACATGCTGTCATTGCTTCTGCAAGATACAATATGAGAAAAACAATATTCTAGACAATAAAACAGATTTGTTCACCTCTCCTTACTGTCTGATATAGAGGCATTTATTTATTTTTGCAGTGAATCAAAAGAAGTTCTCATGGTGAAGTTCAACTGTTATTTATTCTGTGGCTTCCTCCTCCCTGGTCTTCCTCTGTTTTTCTTTCTGCTAATAAAAGTGGCTACAAACAATCCTTTTTAAAGACCATGGTGTCACAGATGGAAAGCGAGGTTAAAAAGTGGGGAACAAGAGCATGACGTCAATAGCACAAGTAGGACGAAAGACAATAGACATAAGGCAGAAAGGAGAACTGTTGAGTATGTAACTAGGTAGAACTCACAGCCCCAAAAGACAAGGACCTGGCCCTGCAGCTGATGTCAGTTCTTTTTTGCTCAAGCATCTAAATGTGTGATCAGCCCTACCTGTCCACACACATCCCAGCCAAGCGCTGGTCCTGTGCTTGGTCTAAAGACGTGACTTAAGGGCAAAAGATGTTTGAGGCTTGAATCTATCCATTTTGTGAGGAATACAGGCAAAATAACCAAAGGATAGAAGTCCTCCTGTGCCCTTCCTGTTATTTCTCACAAAGTTGGTCAAACAATCTCACAGCTTTTTGGAATGGGGTCTGAGATCACGTCATAAAGAAAGAGCACAAAGGGGGATGATGCTGTACAACAGGGCTTGAGCTGCTTGGGGCCTTGCTGCCACAAAAAGGGAAATGACCTGCCCTGCTTCTCCCTTCTTGTACTCCTGGCCTAGACCAAAGCATGTGCTTTGAGCAGGTTTGTCTCATCTTCTGCTGAGCCAATTCAACATGTTAGAACAGCAGAAAACTAATCCGCAAGAAAGTGAGTAATTTTCAGTTGAACTGAGTTGAGTGGGCTCAGCGCAGGGAGCTAATAAAAGGAGAGAGTGGATGGGTAGGGGGAAAAAAATAATTGCTTCCTTGTAGTAATATAAGAATTTATCCCCGGTATTCTCTTTAAATTATTATTTTGCATTCAAATTGACATTTTCAGAACAATTTTTAGGCATGATGTAGAAATTATGTCATAAACTTCCATTCTTTACAGTCATATGTTTGGGAAACCTTCTTTCCTTAAAGATAACCTGGGCTTAAAAATCCTTGGTCATGCTTACTGCTCCATAGACGAGTCTTTTAACATTTCTTTCAGTAAATACTTGTGTTTTCTCCTAAGTAGCCTTGATTCTGCTGAATGCAACCGAGACTCAGCTGGTGAACTTTAATTTTCCACATAAACCATTAGCCTTTACAGGAGGAAGCAAAGATTGACTTTTATGCTTATCAGTTCTATGTCATAGACCATGTAGCCATGCACATCCATAAATATTCTTGAAAGGCTCTAACATGTTCCTGCTGAAATAGCTGCATTTTTGTCCCTAATGCCAACAGGAGGAGCCCATGTCTGGCAAAACGAAGAAGTCACTTTTGAGTGCATAGCCCTGAAACACTGCAGGCTGACACGCCTGGCTGCTCATGTTTACTGGGAGAAACATCCAACACAACTTATAATGTAAACCTCAGCTACTGAATCCCTCCCATTTTCTAGGACGCTGTCCAAGCTGTATCTGAAGTGAATTTCTTCTTGACCATTCAACACAGTGTCTCCAGATCCTCCCCAGCTGGTGACACAATGTTTACAGTGGTTTCCTACTGCATTTTTAACCTCACAAACTTGTAAGCCACACAGCTGTTTAAATCAACAAATCCTGCCTGTAAGTATGCTTCAGGGAAAGACTTTTAAAACAGACGCTCTCATATAATCAAATTGCAAGGCTCACAAGGTACTAGTTTTCTAAATGAAACATGGAGTAAATTGGGACACCAAAACAGAATCCTAGGAGGGGTTTACAGAGGCATTGGTGCTGCAGATTGACTAATCTAGTGGTTTTCAAACCACGACCCAGAGATGCTTACAGATCCATGAACAACTTCTGAGGCATTCACGTAAGACAGGAAATAAAAACAGGAAGAGAAATTTACTGGAAGCAGGTTAAAATTCACAGTATATATGCAGCACCATATGCACTTACACAAAAACTGGAACTGGAGAAGGGGGAATCTGCAAGTCCAAAATGGCTGAAAAGTTTTTGTCTAATGAATCATTTATTTTCACCACTTCAAAGAGCAAGAATACCCCAAAATATCACTCCTGTTGAGTAAGCACCATGTTCCCACAGGTAAAAGATGTTTTGTGGAACCTAAACCTGTCTTCTCACTGGTATTGATACTAGACAAAAGCCAGAGCGCTAGATCTCTGCCCATGGAAGCAGCCTGGAGTTTTGAATACATAATTTCCAGAAGTCTTTTAGTATTTATTAGTCTGTGAAAATAATAATTCTTTACAAAAGTATCAATACCAAGTTGTTAGGGTAGATACTAAATCTAAAACCTGGAAATGACAAACAGCCCATCATCACCAAACTTTTAGCTGAAGGAAAGCAAGGGAACCAAAAATTTAGACATCTGTGAAAGAGAAAAATGAAAACTGCCAGAGGATGAAAAAGCACAGGTGTCAACCAGACTGACATACAGAGAAACCCAACTCCTTGGGCCACAGAGCAGGAATAGACCAAACATCATCAGTATAACTTGTCTTCCTGTTCAGCACATCAGAACCCTGCCCTCGGGATGCTTGTTTGAAGGGAGACAGTGGTTAACACTCCAGCCTATTTTATCCTTCACGCTGCAAGTGGAATTGCCTATGTGAGTGAATTGCTAAACTCGTTCTGTAATGAGGAGAGCTGTCTAATTAAAACTTGGCTGAGATGAGCCATGCATTTTACGTAGGCTACCTAACTACCATCCAAGGTGTTCTGCTTCATTTGCTGACAGCTGGGCTAAATATAAGCCCGTAGCTAGCTATGTATTAGCTACAGCCTTGTATTTAGCCCAGCTGTCCTGTAGCTCAATCCACAACACCAGTGGGAAGAGTGAGTGACTCACAGCAATGTAATCACTCTTGAAAAACTGCCAAAATAAAAAAACAAAAACTTTTGCCAGAGATCTTTCATAGGATTTTCCTTCCTCTTCTCCCAACCTGTTCCGTAGACCTTAAACTGAAACCTGAAGTTACTACAAACTGATGCACTTCCTTTTGGTTTTCTCTCTCCCTCTAATGCAAACTCATGGACCCGCTCACTGCCACTCACAGCTGTAGCTTTGTGAGCAAAACATACATATTCCTGCTGAATTCTGCCAAAACCTGAATTCACTACTCTTCTAAATTTTCTGCTTCTCAAATTAACCTCCTAAGTGTGAACACAATGTAGCCCATACAGTTTTCTCTTCCTCTGTCTTTCAGTAACTAGAGGCAGAAGCTCTTGGATTTTTGAATGGATGTGTTTAGATAAGTTGTTGGCTCTGAAACATGTTTATGGCAGTTTAGTTTCAATTACTATTGTTGCAGCTAGATTAAAAGTCCCTGAAACTGATAAAGTGTAATCATAACCTATATTGACATTTCTGGAATGGTGAGTTGAATATGAGCTTCTGTCCACAGCAAAAAGATATGAAAAACTACTCAAGACTTTGAAAGTTCTGAGTCAAGTTCCCATTACATGGGAAAGGGAGAGAAGTTCAGGTAAGGAGAGGGATGGTTGTGAGTAAATAGGAGATAAAGAAGTTTAAAAATAACTGTTTGGTGCCTTTTCAGAGAAGATGAAAGGAATAGTGTCACTTAATGAAAAATACGTTCATACTACCAATTCAACTTGGGTCCATAGTAATTTTGATGCAGGTCTGGTACTGCTTCCAGCTGACTTCTTGTTTTCAATTTCTAAGCATTTTTCTTGTGCATGAGCTGACTTCTCGTTCAGCGGAAACTGAAGACTGGAAGTGAAACTGAAATGGAAGACCAC